TCAATCTCTGGGCCAGGAAGATCGCCTGGAGTAGGAAATGGCAACCCACTCCAGTGGCCATTCTTGCCTGGAAAATTCCATGAACAGAGAAGCCTGGCAGGCTACAGTCCATGGAGTCACAAAGAGTTGGACACGACTGAGCACACACAAGCACACACATAGCTAGTGCCAGCTGCATTAGTCAGCTTGGGCAGCCATAACAAAAGACCATAGACTGGGTGGCTTGACAGTCAACTTGAATTCATTTTCTCACAGTTCTGTGGGCCGGAAGTCCAGTGTCAAGGTTAGCTGATTTGGTTTCTGGTGAGGCCTCTCTTCTGGGCTGGGGGACAGCTGCCATCTTATTATCACCCCACATGCCCTTTCTCCAGGTCACTGCACATGGACACAGAGATTGAGCTTTCTGGTGTCTCATCTTCCAAAGATGCTAATCCCATGAGATCAGAGCCCCATCTTTATGATCTCATTTAACCTTAATTACTTCCTTAGAGGCCCCATCTCCAAATAAAGCCATATTGGAGTTCAGGGCTTCCACATATGAACTTGGGTTGGGGGGAGTAAAAACATTCAGTCTGTAAAACTGATAGAGCCAGGATTCAAACCCAGACTTGTCCAGTTCCCAAGCTGATATTCTTAATTGCTGAGTTATATTGCCATGTTGCTTCTGGGTCCTTAGTGTTAGTTGCTCAGTCGTGCCCGACTCTTTGCGACCCCATGGACTGCAGCCCACCAGGCTCCTCTGTCCATGAGATTTTCCAGGCAAGGATACTGGAGTGGGTTGCCATTTCCTTCTCCAGGGGATCTTCCCAACCCAGGGATTGAACATGGGTCTCCTGCACTGCAGGGAGAGTCTTGGTCCTTAGCTCTGCCCTAACCTGAACTTCTTCATGCCTGGTTTCATACATTGCCAGGGATTAGATTACTTGTCTGGTTTTCTCATGGGGCACACCTGCCTTGGAGTTAGGAGCCAAAAATGCAAAGCCTGGCTTCACCTCTCACTACCTGTGTGACCTGGAGCCAACAGCTTAACGACTCTGGATACGTCTTAGTTTTCCCATCAATGAAATATGGGCAATATTAAAAGGTACTTTAGGAACTTTCTTCAGGTGTGAGGGAGAAAACAGTCCTCATGGGAATCCACTGAAGGTCCTGGAGCAAACACACTGCATGATTCCAATGCCTTGTTGTTATGAATATCTTCCGGAGTAACATTAACAGTTGCATAGATGGGCATGAAGAAGCTGCTCCCACCCCAGCATGGTGATACAGCCTGTGGGAAGGGACCTCTCAAGGCTGTGACCCGTATTTTTCCCTTCCTCCTCATGCTGAATCATCATTGTGCTTTTGTTTTGCCTGAATTAAGTTTTTTTCTATTTGACTTAGTTGCTTTTCAGGCTGGGAAGGACTGCCTCAAGGGGATCATTCCAGAAGGCAGCCTGTCTGGAAGTTCTCAGCAATGTAATTTATCTACTTGAGATCCAAGGGTAGGGTAAATAACAACAACAATAACAATGACAACCTAATAGTCAACACTTACGCTGCATTAAATACTTTGGCCACTTGATGTGAAGAGCTGACTCACTGGAAAAGACCCTGATGCTGAGACAGACTGAGGGCAGGAGGAGAAGAGGACAACAGAGGAAGAGGTGGTTGGATGGCATCACCACCTCAATGCACATGAATTTGAGCAAACTCTGGGAAACAGTGAAAGACAGGGAAGCCTAGCATGCTGCAGTTCATGGAGTCACAAACAGTCAGACACGACTTACAGACTGAACAACATACAGCATTAACTATATACCAGGCACTGATCTAAGTACTACGTAGATATGAATTTATTTACTCTCTACAATATCTTCTGTAACCACACCTAGCAATAAGTGGTAGCATTAGTGAAGCACTACAGTAATCAGTCCCACAGCTAGTAAACACCTGGGCTGGGATTTGAACCAAGGGACTCTGGCTGTACACTCCATGCACAAGGCCGCTCCTAGCATCTACTGTTCCTCCCTGCCTGGCCTGCAGTCCCAGGAGGAGAGGCCATCCCCCAGGACAGGGGAAGCACAGGGCCCTGTGGGAGGGGAGCATGTCAGGGAGCATCCACCTAGGACTGGAAGCAGAAGCCAGAAGACTGGGTACGGCTGCCAACTAGGAGTTTATGGTTGGTGGCTCTCTGAGGGGTCCCAGGCACCCAGTGCTTTCTACTCCTGTAGCACTAACCAGCCTGCATCCCAACTCTGGGCTCATTATCAAGGCCACGAGTTCCTCCAGGGATGCTGTCTAGACGAGATCAGTGATCCCTCAGTAGCAGGGGAAACAGGGACCTGGTCCATCACTGAACTATTGTTTTTTTTTATTTTTTAATTAATTAATTAATTATTTGGCCGTACCATACAACATGCAAGATCTTCCTTGACCAGTGATCAAACGCACGCCCCCTGCATTGGGAGTACAGAGTTTTAACCACTAGATCACCAGGGAAGTCCTATTTTTATTTTTTATTTATATTTTGGCCATGCACCCTGTGGGATCTTAGTTCCCCAACCAGGGATTGGTCAGGGTGCAGAGTCTTAACCACTGGACTAAACTGCCCATCACTAAACTATTGTGATCCTGGGCCTAAAAAAATGCACTTATGAAATGAGTAATGAAGTAGGCCCACAAATAACCACTGTAAGCAGTGGCACGATGGTTTTGAATATTTAGAATCTTTTGTTTATTCCTGCTTAGTGTAAAGGCCCTGAGATGAGTTACTTGAGAAGTTTGGTAAGCAGGCATATTCTCAGGCCCCAAACCTGCGATTCTGATTCATTTGGTTCAGGTGGTTCTTAAAAACATTTTTACTGGAATATAATGGACAACCAGAAAAGTGTACATAAGTGAACAGCTTGCTGAGTTTTCACAAACTGAATGTATCTATGCACCCTGCACCGAGGTCAAGAAACAGAACATTAGTGGAACAGTCTTGGGGAGTTTTAAACATACAATCCTGATCATTCTCACGCAGATCTTCTGGACACTGAGAAACACTGCAGGATTGCTTAGCACTGAAACTGTTGAAATGGAAAGAGCTCGCACGTGCATCTTTGAGGCTGACGAGGACAGGAGAAGGGAAGCATTGCTCACTGGGGACAGCAGATGGTGGCATTGCTCCTGGGGTCATAAAATAGAGAAGGCCAACTAAGTCACCAACTGGCTTGTTGGATGTGAAAAGCAGAGCTCATAAGTTCCCGACACCTGATGAGGGGCCCTGATGACTCAATGGGAGAGAAGTCCATGGATCCCAGGTCCAGGCCTCCAGTTTATCAGCCGCTAAAGCAAACGAGGTTTCAGAGCAAAGACAGAGAGGTCCCATGGATGTAATCACTGAGTCACCCATTTCCAAAACAGTGGGAGTCCCTCCTCTATCTGAACCAGACTGGATGAGACCTTCAGAAATTCTTTCTCAGTTTCAACCACAATTTCTCACACACACCCAGCTCTTGGTTGGGTACCAAGAGTTGCTCTGGAATGTTCTTTCCCATGCTTTCAATTGAGGTCTTTCACTATGGGTTGGACTCATTCGCTGTCTTTTTCCTCCTGTTTTTCCTTTCTTCAGAATTTTTTGATTGCTGATGTTCAGCCTAGAAGCTACGAGCCTGAACTTCTACAAAAATAAAGAAATTCGGTGATGGGAAAAGAAGAGAAGGCTTCATTCTGGTTATCTCTTGATCACCCATCCGTGGATTCGTGGAGGTCTGCTATCAGCCTGAGTATTCCAGGCTATTGAGATTTCCTCCAACATCTAACATCCTTCAAAGCCTCACCTTTAACAAGTATGGACACAGATGGCAGAGAGGGACAAAGGTCGTGCAGGGAAGGAAAGTCATTTTGGTATCAGGCCTTAAACAATTTCTCTAGTCTTCTATTGTTAAATCACTGACAATTTCTCTAACTTTAAATTTTCTTCAAGTGCTATATATTCAACAGAGGACTGGGCTGTTTTGTTTTGTTTCCCGAGTTTGGCTTCTACTTCTTCTCCCAGAATTTTTTTTTACCCCACTGTGGGAATAGAGTTTGAAACATTTCCAAATAAATTTGGAAAGGAGCTGTCTAGATTCTGTAAAGATTTAAGATGAGTTCCTTTTCTGCATAACTCCTTGTCTCCAGCTGATCAGTAATCAAAAGGACAATCTGCATCCTGGTTCCTAAGGAAAGCTGAAGTGTAGCCCCTCCCAGAAAAGTCACTTCTCTTAGTCTACTATTCATTCATCCAATCACCCATTCATCTGCTCTTTTATTCAACAGACTGTCACTGCTGAGTGTATACTGTGTCAGGACTTTGCTAGGTGCAGATCACCAAGTGCAAGTTCCCATCGCTGGCCTTTCCTTTTATTTCTGGGGGTGTGGTGGGGAGCACTCAGAAGAAGGGGATATAGACATCTCAAATTATCTTCTTTCCCCTCCAGCTGCCTCCAGGCTTCCAGTCCCCAGTTAGAAAGCTGCAATATTGGGACTTCCCTGATGGTCCAGGGGTTAAGAGTCCACCTTGTCACTGCAGGGGATGCAGATCCGAGAACTAATATCCCACCTGCCACAGAGCAACTGGCCCAGTACTGCAGCTCGGGGCTTCCCAGGCGGCACAGTGGTAAAGAATCCACCTGCCAAAGCAGATGTGCGTTGGCTCCCTGGGTCAGGAAGGTCCCCTAAAGAATATGGCAACCCACTCCAGTGTTCTTGCCTGGAGAATCCCATGGACAGAGGAGCCTGGCAGGCTACAGTCCAGAGGTTGCAAAGAGTCAGACAGGACTGAGCACTCATGCAAGAAAGGGACGGTTGCAACTAGAGAGCCTGTACGCCACAATGAAAGATAACGAAGGCTGCAACTGGGATCTGACCTGGCTAAATAAGTAATAAATAAATAGAAAGAAAAGCTTAAAAAAAAGAAGAAGAGGAAGAAAGATGCGTAACCAAGGTAAAAGTGATTCTCTCCCAACCTGGATCTCCTCTCGGTATTGCTGCTAGCCCCTGGCTTGCTTCAGGATGACTCTTAAGAGCTTAATAAGGGCCAAGGCCATCATTAAGGCTGGGCTTTGCAAGGCCAGCTGCCGTACTCCGCTGTAGCCCTCAGCGCGGAGGGCCTGGGGTGGCAGGGTCCCTTGACTGCCTGCCGGATGGCCAGCTCGTGCTAGATGAGTGCTCTGGTCTGCTCTGCAGAATCAAAATTCAGCTGTTCCACCCGGATTGTACTTGCTAATTTTCATCCTTTTGATCTCATTCCAAACTAGATGTAAGAGCCATTTGCATTAGTGGGGTGAAGATCATTCTGGAAAGTTGAAAGAGCAGCTCAGCCATTACATTTGAAAATGTTCTACTGGCAGTGTGACTGAGGGCAAAAACCTGATTCAGGCTGCATCGCGCCTTTGACACTTCGTAAATTGATGTTTTTTCTCCTTCATAAAAAAATTGATTTCCAATTTAAAAGACTTATAATGGAGTTTAACATTTTTCCTTAATGCAATTTAGGTGCACGTACCTGGTTTTACAACAGATCCAGTACGTGAAAATGGATGTGTACCCATCAAATTAAGGGAAAAGAGAAGCACTTTCAGATGGACAGACTCAGTTTACAGAATGATTCTTTTCTTCACCAAAGGAATTTCCACTGGGTTCTCTGAAAAGGGTTAATTTTCCTAGTGTACTTAAACACTTTGTAAAAGTTTCATTTAAAAACAGGGTTTAAATAAATAAATAAATAAAAATTAAAAAAAAAATAAAAACATGGTTTAGACATCACACATCCTATGTAAAGAGAAGACTGCTCAGAACAGGCAGATGGCTCATGCTAATATTTTTAGAGCCATTACCCCATTTCAAATGGAATTCAAATGATTTGTCAACATCTGGTTGGTATTCAATGTCCTGTCTTATAAGCAAGCTTATACTTGCTTCAACACTTAGGTCAATAGTTACTCCTTTGTTGAGCCCTCTCAGACAATGCTCACCTTTTTTGCAGAGGTGAAATCTTTTGGGCACTTATGTAGCAACTGAACTGCTCACTGTGAAGACTGCCCTAGAAATGGTCTAGGCTTTACCCATTCTATAAGTTCAAATATGTGCCAGGTCCTCAAGAAACTTTGCCTCAAAAGTTATTGAAGTTGATGAAATGGAATGAGAAGCAGCCTTCGCTGTCCTGAAGTAGTGTCTTTTGGTTAAAATTTCCTCAGAACAAGATCTGATTTTGGTCACAGGACTATGTCTCCTGGTGGCTTAGAGTTAGGTTGCCTTTGTGGACAAATCATCAAAATTATAATAGAAAATAAAAGGCCACATATAGGTCTAAGCCAGTCAGCATAATCTCTTGCAACCAGAGGGATTGCTTCAGGAATGTGCAATGGAAAGCAGACCTGGGATGTTTGTTGGAATCGAGGAGGAGACAAGTTCTCTCATCCACTGGATTTAATCCTCAGAAAATATAAATTAGTAGTGTCTGAAGGTGCCTTAGCAACCAGCACAGAGGAAGAACTAATTGGTAGAGAAGTCCCGATGATATCATTTGAGCTCTGGGGTCCAACATCTCCTGAGCTAAACCTGTTTCAGGACTTTTCAATTAAGGGAGCAGGTAAATTCACTTCTTTACTTAGACATTTGCCTTGCCCTCTTGTTATTTACAAATGAAAGCCTCCTGGGACGTCCCTGGAGGTCCAGTGGTCAGGACCCGCAGCTTCCACTGCAGGGAGCACGAGTTCGATCCCCGGTCAGGGAAGTAAGACCCCGCACGATGCAAGACACCACCAAAACACAAAACAAATGAATGAACAAAACAAATGAAAAACTCCTGGCTCCCCGTTTCCCAACTGGTCTTTATATCAATCACCAAGATCTCTGCTTTTTCAGTCCAAAGTATCCACTGGCTGATCTCCATGCCAGTGCCCATAATCCAGTTCAGATTCTCACAGCCTCCAATATACAAACTCTGAGATTTGTCTCAGTCTCTATTTTCTCCCCTCCTATGAGGTTTCCCAGAAGCTGCCGCTTAATCCTCATAAAGCACAGATATGGGGAAGGCACTCAGTCGGCTGCTCCACAGCTCTCACTGACTCGCCACTGCCCCCTGAATTAAAAAACCTACAGACTTCACCCCTCCCCACCCATCCTTTACTCTCACGCAGAACACTTCACTTCTGACCCTTCTGGTCACCAACAGTGTGGAGGAGCTTTCCCCACACCAAGGAATTTTCCACAACACTGGCTGGGTCCTACAATGCCCTTCAGTTCTGACACCACCTACCTGGAAATAGTGCCAGGTTCCACAGAGCAACGTCTTGGTCCCACAAGACTGCTCTCCCATTTCAGATGTCAGCTGGAAGCAGGAGTTCCTCAGGTTACCCACAACTTCTGTCCAATTTACCTATAAATTGGAGGTTCCCATGGCCCTCTCCTTGGGTTCAATTAATCTGTTGGAGTGGCTCACAGAATTCAGGAGTACATTTACTTATGTCTGTGGCTGTTGTGTTTAGTCGCTAAGTCGTGTCTGACTCTTTTGTGACCCCATGGACAGGCTCCTCTGTCCATGCGATTCTCCAGGCAAAGATACTGGAGCGGGTTGCCATTTCCTTCTGCAGAAGCTCTTCCTGACCCAAGGATAAACCTGCGTCTCCTGCATTGCAGGTGAATTCTTTACCATCTAAGACACCAGGGAAACCCTTCTGAATTCTTACAGCCCTTTATCTCTTCACAATTCAGGACTTTAACCGATCAATTCCTCTTATCTTTCTATATTTTGTTACAGCTATTTGTGGATATGTTCTATCTGGGGCTTCCCTAGTGACTCCGAAGGCAAAGAATCCGCCTGCAATGCAGGCAACCCAGGTTCGATCCCTGGGTCAGGAAGACCCCCTGGAGAAGGGAATGGCAAATCACTCTAGTATTCTTGCCTGAAATATTCCATGGACAGAGGAGATTGGTGGGCTATAGTCTATAGAGTCACAAAGAGTTGGACATGACTAAGCGACTAACGCTTTTCTTTCCAGTCTGCTCTCTAGAGATCATTCTGGGGTGAATTAGTGGGTCATCACTAGCAGGTTCAGACAGGGTCCATTTTTGGTTCTCTTATTAGTGGATCCCATCCCCTGCCCCCATAGTAATAACCCATACATTTACTCAATTGGTATAAAGGAAGGAATCAGAAAGGTTGTTTAGTAGATTCTCAGGAAACTTGCTTTGGAATAAGTATAAAAAATAATTCCTAAACAAATAAACAGATACTAGAGGAACACACAGGGATGCTTGGAAATGGTCTTTCTTAAGTACTAAATCTCACACCTCCCCCTCCCCCATTTTTGCACTACTAATCTTCCAACACAAAAGTAAAATTCAGGTAAAGTTTTGACAAAACGTTGAAAATTCTAAACCATCGTCGTGTGTGTGCTCAGTTGTGTCCGACTCTCTGCCACCCCACGGCATGTAGGCCTCCAGGCTCCTCTCCATGGGATTCTCCAGGCAAGAATGCTGGAGTGGGTTGCCATGCCCTCCTCCAAGGGATCTTCCCGACCCAGGGATTGTAAACTATCTCCATGATGATGATCAAAAACCACATATGAGTATAACTGAAAAAATATCTTATGAGCAAAAGTTCTCTCGGAATCATGTTAACAGAAGCCACAACATGCATTTACGTCATGTGTCACAGCTCACAAAATACTTCTACAGACTTTACTTCATCCCAGGTTTATAACCCTGTGAGATCAGTAGGGCAAGACCCATCAGCCCTGTTTACCAGTAAGGAAGAGGTAAGCTCTAAGAGAGGCTAACCAACTAGCAAGTCTCTATAACCGAGTAGATGATAGAACTAGGACTAAAACCCAAGGTTTCTGACACCTAGCCCCAGTCCTTTCAATTATTCTGTGCTTCTGACCTTAGGCTAATAGATAACATCATCCCTTGCCAGTGACAGATTTAGTAAAGGACTTATGACCATTGAATTTCCACCACTGTGATATGAAGAGGGGTCTGGTGAGCAGTATCATTGTCCTGCTTCTAAGAGGGAGATACAAGAAGAGAAGTTCTTCTTTTTCTTTCTTCCTGGATGTAACTGTTTATGGTAACTGCAGAGCTTCAGTGCCCCTCACCTGAAACCACCCTATCCTTCCATTTCTTGACATGTGCGGTCCTCAACTTCCTTGTTGTCATTTAAACCAGCATAAGTCAGGGGTTTCCATTACTAATACATGAAGTCATCCTAACAGAAACAATATGGGAAACTTGATGATATATGGATTTGGGGTAGAGAGTCCTGTGGTTGAATCCCCACTCCAACCCTTCAAATTGGGAATTTTACTCAACTGTTTAGAGCCATGGATTCTTATCAGTAAAAACAGGGATATGTGTACCTACTGCTCAGAGATATTCAGTCCAATGCAGTAAGTAGTGGGAAGTGTCTGATACCTGGTAGATAATAGTCATTATTGTAAAGATGAACTTTATACCAATACTATAAATAATTTTACCAAGGAAAAAAAACTTTTAAAACTATAAATTTACACAAAACAACTTTATTGGCTCACTCATGTTCCCTACTCTAGTCAGGCAGGTCTTAGAGCAAATACAAAGGGTGATTCCTAACAAGCTCAGATCGAGAATACTCAACCTTTGAATGAACTTCAGTTCCCTAAAGCTTTGGGATTATGGAACAGGGGATGAAAGTGTTGATAATAAAACTACAACTGGAACTGAGGTTGGAGGGCTGCTACCATGACTGGAATTTGCCTTGAAGTCAGCAATCAACCTTTCAAAGAGCAGTCTAACAAATCAAAGACTTGTCATTTATTTGCTTTTAATTTTCCTGCAGAAAGGGTTTTAAGGATTTAATCGTTTGATTTTATTGCATTGTTAAAAAAAAAATAGAGGAAAAAAGAGATAGACATTGCCATCTCTTGTCCTAAAAGAGAAGATAGTTTGGATAACCTCACTTTACCAAGATGCTGTTTACACAACCATGACGTCACAGCCATTAAGCGCAGGACTGGGCCATTCTGGACCTTCCTGGTTTGAAGACAACTACCTTCTTCATTTCAACATTAAAACAAAAAATATCATGTCACCTTGGGATGGTGTCACATTACGAGAAGAAGCTAATTTTTTGTTTTGATTTTGCTTTGTCTTGTTTTTGCCAGAATTACAAAGAATAATATGTAATACAGGTCAACTTT